CCACTGACTGTTCACCATCCCCCTCCAGAATGTCCTGCAGCCACTCTGAGACATCTAGGATCTTAGCACCAGGGAGGCAACACACCATCCTGGACTCTCGTTTGCGGCCATCATTCTGCCTTGGAAATATATTACCAGTCCTCAAGTGTCATTGGTACAAAATCCTGGAATTCCCTCCCTGAGGACATTGTGGGTGTATCTACAGCACATGGACTGCAGCAGTTCGAGAAGGCAGCTCACTGCCAACTTCTCAAGGGCAACTCGGGATGGGCAACAAATTCTGGTTCAGCCAAAGATGCCTGCGTCCCATGAGTGAACAATAAAACATAATACACTTTCAGTGGGGGTAATTGAAGAATAGTACAACAATGGACAATGTTTTTTGTTTTCCTTGCTGGCTAATGCATAGATAATTCTGTATCTCTAAAGGACACGTCCTGGCCACCATAGGCAAGAGTCAAGATCCTTTCTTCTGAGAAGTGATGAGCTGACTGTCAGATCCGCCCTGACATTCCTTTTGGCCCAGTACTGGGCCATTTTCTCTTGGACTGAGAGAAAGGATGAGTTGAGTGAGATGAAAGTGGGAGACACCGCTCTTAGTGTTGATGCATGTGGGGGAAAAGTGGTGAGGTGTCCCAAGCGACTGAACAGTCAGTACAGAGGCAATGTAGGGTCAGTAGCATGGGAGCAATGTGTTGTTAAAGTCAGTGAGAGAAAATGTTGCATGCAGTAGTGAGTGTGGTAGAGTGAGAGTCTTGGTGAGAGAGATGCAGCAGCAGAGACAGACTAAGTGTAAGGATGCAGAGAGTCGACGGTGACACCTATCCTGATGGATCAGAGAACACCATTGACATTCTTGGAGTCATTTATCAGGTCATTTATCAGGGTGATTAAGACTGCACTGACTCGGGTAGCAGCCTCTAACCAGGCTGGCAGGGGCTGGTATTATGCCTGCCTCTGCCTGTCTTGTGGAAAAGAGCCTCACACATATGTGAATGCCTCACCATCCACCAAGGCTTCCAGGATCCTGCCTGCAAAGTTCTGCCAATTCCCCTTTGTGTCATGTTTTGGGGCAAGTTAATTTAATCGTGCAGGCAGCTTGTTATCACATAGCCTGCCATTACACACTAACTATTGTTAGTCACTAACAGTCCCCATTTACAGCTATTCATCCTCCTAGCCATATGGTTATCAACTCCTTTGTCTATCCAACTGCTCTTCCCTCTCTTTGGGCTCTATCCTTTATCCTATCGTTTACTCCCTACCCCATCCCCCTCCCTATTTTCTGCATATAAACCCAATGTTTTCCCAGGTACCATCAGTTTTGAGGAAGGGCCACTGGACCCAAAATGTTAACTCTGATTTTATTCTTCACAGATGCTGCCAGACCTGCTGAGCTTTTCTAACACATTCTGTACTTGTTCTTGGACTGCCAGTACTTGACAGGGCATACATTGGTGTCTTAAGTATGGTGCTGGTATAGGAATCCAAGGATGTCCTGGCAGTGTTGAGTACTTTTGCTTATGGTGAATGGATAATGGAGTTAGCACCGTAGGGGGCTCGTACCTGGTTAATAAGGCACATTTGGGATGATTACGTGAGAAAATACACAGGCCTTGAGGAGAGAAAACATTCATGAAAGTCAACAAAAAAATCACGCTAATTCAAATAGTTCCTGATCCATGATAACCCCCAGGATGTTGATAGTGTGGGATTTGGTGGTGTTTCAGGGGATGATAGAATCATATATATCGAAAGTTTGCAAACATGTTCCCCTGATTTTCCATCCATGACAAAATTTGGAAATCGCAAATTTCCATTGATTCCAGATGCCTCAATTGATTTAAGTACAGAGCAGCTGGCACATACTGGCTGATACAGCAGAGTCTAACATTGTGCTGATTTATTGACTGATCGGACAGCAATAAATATTTCCCAAATTTCCATGTTGCTTCCTTTTGTGTATACAGTCATTATAATATTACTGCAATGAATTGCATTTTTTAGCTATAACTACTACTAGGTTATTCTAGCAGTTTCTCAATACATTTGCATAATCTGAAAGTTTCCAACCAGCTGGATGGAAATCACTCTTATTCCTCAGGAATTACTAATGCATATCATCAGCAGGAGATAACCAACAGAATTCTCCTTTAAAAATTGCATTTCACACCTTTTCAAATTAATTATATTAAGTACTAAAATTCTACTGTCAGCAATTTCATACCGTGGTAGCAAACTAAAATATGCTTCTGTCTAAAAGGTAAATAATCTATTACTGGGTTGGAATTTTGAATGGACGTTGCCATTTTTTATTTAGAATTAAATGTATTTTTATTTTCAAACGTTGTTTTGCTTTTTCACAGCAGCTATAATCTGCCATCCATGTAAGCAGTGTAAATATTTCCCTTTTGTATTCACGGAACATCATTGGCATATGGAGTTAAGCTTAGAGTACAGACAGTAAGAGGGAATTTGGTTGAGTTGAATTTTCAGCTGAAAAATATTAAAAGTGCTCAAATATCAAAACTTTAATTTAAATCTGCTGAAGTCAACAAGGCATTCAGAAAGGGCTAATCATTAAGACATTGTACTCAATGTTTTTTGGTTTAATGAAAAGATACCAGAGAAATGCGGGGGGAGTTTTTCAGGACCCAGCACTGCAATCATACCATGTATTATTGATGCTGATCTCGTAGCCTAACTGGACTTGCTGATTAAAAAGGAGGCAGCATGGACAAGAAACTGTGTTAGCTCCAGATGTTCTTTTTATTAAAGGTACGTTTGTTGATGCTAGGCAAAAAGAAGAGAATTGTTTATAGGAGGGTGCAGATCAGATCCAGTCTTGGATGTTTGTGAGCTCTCTAAGAAAAAGCAAGGCAAAGGCAGGCTTTACATCTCACATACCCTTCTCTGAAGAAACATACTGCCTGCTTGACAGGAGGTGGCTGTCATTATATATGGCAGAACGTGAAAGCAGATGAGCAGAATTATGAGCAGCTTCTAGTAGCCTATCCAGGGAAGTCTGAGCATTGCAGTCATTCAAGTCAATTGACAAAATTTGCAGGTGACAAATAGATTTGTCTCAGCTTATAGCAGCTTGGTGTGTGCTGAGCCTTCAACAAACTGTTAACTCCATGCTGCATATGCATATCAGTACTGTCAATAATTGCTGGTTCAAATCACAAGCTGATTGCAAGGCACAAATTCATTTGCTCACCTATGGTACAATGTAGGTTGGTATTTTATCAATCATCCAACGTAAGTTTCCAGTGGAAACAGAGTTCTCACTTCTGGCTGATCCCTTACTGACTGTCTTTGTAATTATATCTGACAAGTCAAAGTAACTGCATTTAAACATAGCTGGAGTCTTACATTACATCCTGTGATGTAAGACAAGTGCCTCTTTTCATTAAGATGCAACAGAAGTTTATCCTCCTTGATTCAGCACAGAAAAGAGGATTTCTGACAGTTCTACCCAAACCACGACCAGGATTGTACCACAACCTGCAACATATGATTTGTTGACTGTTACAACAAACATCATGGACTGCCTTGTTTGCATTATTGCAGGAATGGGTTTCAGCCAACAGTCCAGATTGTGTAATGCTGTCCTGTTCCATCCTGCAAAACAAATCTGAAAGCTGGTGGCATTATATCAAGTTGCACTCAGTGATAATATATTAACTTTTCATTTCTGAGCAAAAAGCTTGATTACAGTGAATTAACAGCTAGTTTTAAGCCTTGCTCAATTTTCTTACACAGTAATAAGCTGTTTATAGACTGGGCACCATTCACTATCAATCATAAACCTAGCAGTTATTCTGTCTTCAACAGCCAATAATATAGGATGCACCATTCTGGAGAATTAGCCAATCAGACTCCTACAGTGTGCAAACAGTCCCTTCATGCCCATCTGGTTCCCTAAACTGAATTAGCTGCCTTTGCCAGCATTTGGCCCATATCCCTCTCAATGTTTCCCATCCATGAACCCGTCCAAATGTTTTCTACGTATTGTGGTTGTACTCACCTCCACCACTTCCTCTGGCAGCTCGTTCCATATACACGCCACCCTCTATGTGAGTATGCGCTAGGTGAAGCACGAATGAATATGAGCATCTGGTGAAATTAGAAGATGAATTTCAATCTGCCACCAGAGAACCAACTTGCATCTTTACTTGGGTGCAGAGCCCTGTGACTGGGAGCCCAATGGCTGTCCAATACAGGAACCACTAGCCACATGTAGCTCGCTTGGTTGTGGATGATTCTAATCAATGAATAGAAAACAGGTCAGAGACACTGTCCTTCAGGAGGTGATTTCTGTGCTTATACTTGCACACCATATAGATATCAATTTTTTGCTTTTTTTGTGTTTATTGGTAAAATAATAAGATGAAAGAATGTGTTCATTCTTTTGATCATTGGAAACAATTTATTTTCTTGGTAACTAAATGGTGGTCGATATTAGTTAAGCATGTTATTACATGTGAAGTACATCTAGTGGGTGAGTTGTATTGATACGTTTTCTAGCCTGTGGCTAGTCAGCAAAATCTATTGAACTAATTATAATTTTCTCTATCCAGATACCTGAAGCTCTGATCCACCTAAAAAACTGCAAAGCGGCATGTTATTAGTGTTAACGGGAATATATTAGCTTTTTAAGCATAATTGTAAAGTTAAAAGTGCCAAATATAAACACTAACACAAGGATATATATATATATATAATGATTTTAAAAAATGCTATTGTTATCTTACATAATTATGCAACTGCAATTGCAAAGTGTTTTTTAATGTTCAAACTTTAATTATAAATGAGAATAAATGAAATTTTTCTTGTAAAACTATTTAACATAGACAATTATTTATAGTATACTGTTACATCAAAAACAGTTTTTGATAAACACAATTTTGGTCTGCTAAAGTTGCACAAAAAGCATTATAAATAGATGTTGTTATCTCTCTGCTATGGTTCCAACCTGAAATATAATACATTTCCAGTGAGGCCAACAATGATTGAAAGTGACGTCTACGTGAACAGCATTGGCCCAGTTGATGCGATCAATATGGTAAGTCAATCATTCTCTATGCGATATGTGTTTTTCATCGTGTATCAGTTTCACTTTTGCACTTACTGTATTGGTCAGTGTTTCATATGGTATTTGTAGGTATGATTTTTCTCAGAGTTCATGCTACCGCAACTTCCATTATATCAGTGAATAAGGAGATAGTTCTTGAAACTTAGCTTTTGCACTTTATGGTAAATATTTATTTTTCAGAAATGCCAAATACTTGTTACAAGGCAAGTATAAAGTATTTTATTTTTCAACATAAAAATTGAGTTAATAGTATCCACGTACCTTTTCCACAGACGCTTGATAGAACAGGTCAACATCCGTCCTGATAATATTTATTTGCCATCTTGAAATACAGATGCAGGTAGTTCAGTGCTTAATTGATACAGGCCCTAAAACTCCTTAGGTACTCTCTTAAATTCCTTGGCAGAATGTTATCTGAGTCCCAAGGAATTCATTTTTCTATTTTCTCCTTCATTTTTCCGATTGTCTAAATACCGTTGCTAAACAAATAACTATGTATGTTCAGAATTTAAGTGAAGACAACTGTGGTACTTTACCTGGGTCTGTTCCAAATAACTTGTTTAACTTTTGAACAGATTAGTACTGCTGATTCTTTGAAATGGGTTGGTTATACCTTTAAGTGCCACACATGCAGCCCCTAAGGCCTACTATATCTGCACACTTCTTTCTTGTGCCATAAATATTCTCTTTCCCCATAAGTGGATATGAAGCTGCAAACTGTGGGTTAAAGCCTAGTGCAAAGGTCCTTGCTTAGATTATTTTTAAACATGTTGGAAGTTAAGTGCTTGTTAGTTTCCACAACACAGCTGACATTTAATTCTTGGCTGTGCTCCGAGTTCCTTGGTAAACATCTGTCCGATCACTGATACTTCAGTTGGAAAGAGCAGGTAGATAGCATGGTGACATACATTGTTAGAAATGTAGACATCAAATTCAAGTCAAAATGATAGTAATTATCATATGTGCTCCTCATTGTTATCCATTAAATCGCCTCGTAGGGTAATTTCATTTGTGATAATGAACATTGATTAAAATTGCAATCATTTGCATTGCACAGAATGGTTTTAGCATTTGAACATCTTCATTTCTTGCTTTGAGATCCTTCAAGCCTTAATCTAAAATCCACGTTGCATGATTGCTCTTTTCTGAGGGTAATGGCATTCCAATCATAGGCAGTGGGAGTGACATATAATTTTTATTCCTTATCTGCAGGGAAGCCATTTATATATGTCCCCTTGCACTTTCCTAATCTAATGGCCAATGTTGCTTACTTGGTCCCACATTCATGCTTGTTGATATTATAACCAAAGTATAATCATTCATTTTTGGAAATAGAAAACTCTCATTTTTATCTGGACTTGTCTTCTCTTTTACTGTACAGTTGAAATTTGGTTTGTGGATTTAAATAAAAGTCTGAATTATCCTGAAGGAGATAGCAAGAACTGCAGATGCTGCAGTCAGAGTCAATACAGTGTGGAGGTGGAGGAACATAGCAGGCCAGGCAGCATCAGAGGAGCAGGAAAGTTGATGTTTCGGGTCTGGACCATATCACATTGACTTTCCTGCTCCTCTGATGCTGCCTGACCTTCTCTGCTCTTCCAGCTCCACACTGTATTGACTACACTATCCTAAATTTAGTTCATGGAAATTTTTCCCATGTCATAGGGAATAGTTTCCTGTATTAGATCCTAGAGAGGAGGAAGCTGCAATCTCATTGTGCTGTCACCGGTTGGCCATAATATGACCTCTGCAATCTTTCCAGTCATTTGGGACCATTCAGAAAATCTACCCCATGTTTGAGGAAAAGCTACTTTATTGTCTGCTTTAATCCAACTGAGTAATTAGAAAGGTCAAGTTTAAATCAGTCCACTAGCAGAATTCTGACAGACTCTAAAATGTTTTAAGGCACAGACCAGTGTGTAAAACCTTTTTAGTTTTAATGGCTCACATCTTATAACTTAAATTTCCATAATTTATTTCAGTACCTTGATAATCAATCAGAATGCTGGAGTTCAGTATAAAATAAACAGACCGCACAAATTTGTCAAGATATTAAACTTTGGCCACATGTGCAGATGTCGTGTCCATTCTCACCTCCTTTACCTTGGGTTTTCTTCCAGTTAAGTGTGTAAATAAGGTTATGTGGAAAATTAAAAAAGGATACCATTCAAATGCTGGTGGTAAGTATCTAAATGTCAGATGCCTCTTCTTTACAAATATTAAACTCTAAATATAATTTTCTCTACCTGAAGGAGTTGGAGATCATCAGTAATTTGGTTATTTTGATTTGACGAACTAAATGGCATCTGAAGTTGAACTGGTAAAATACAATCCAATCACTTAACAGCCCCAAATGGCTGGAAATATTTCTAGTGCTAACACCACTGTTGCCAGTGATCACTGTCAACTGGTGATTGGTCTGAGGGATCAAAGCATTGCCCTGAAAAATGAACCAACTTATTTTATTAAAACAGGCACACGTTATGTCTGTTCATTTCTCAAGTCAATGCCTTGATTACTCAGGATCAATCTGCCTGATTTAAAATTTAAATACAGCCTGGCCATCTGTTGTCAATCATTATTAGTTGATGCAGCTTCCATGGAAACATTTCTGCAAATCAAAGTCCACTTGCCAAACAATCGGCAGTCAAAGAGTAATACAGCATAGAAACAGGACCTTCGGCCCAAACTGGTCCTTGCTGACCATGATGCCCACTCAGCTAGTTCCATTTGCCTGCATTTGGTCCAGATCCCTCTAATCACTTCCATCCATGTACTGTTCCAAATGTTGTTTTAAATGTTGCTATTGTACTGGCCTCAACTAATTTCTCTGGCAGCCTATTCCACATATGCATCACTCTCTGTGTGAAGAAGTTGCCCCTCAGGTCCTTCTTAAATCTTGCCCCTCTCACTTTAAACCTATGCCTTAAACCCTCTAGTTTTGAATTCCCCATCCCTGGGAAAAGGACTATGTGCTTTCATCCTATCTTTGCCCCTCTTGATTTTATACAATTCAGTAAGGTCACCCCTCATTCTTCTACGTTCCAAAGAATAAAGTCCTTTCCTGGCCAACCTCTCCCTATAACTCAGGCCTCCTAGTCCTGGCAACATCCTCGTAAATCTTCTTTGCACAATTTCCAGTTTAACAATGTCTTTCCTGTAACAGGGTGACCAAAACTGTACACAATACTCCAACTACAGCCTGACCAATGACTTATACAACTGTAACATAACGTCCCAACTCCTATACACAAAGCCTTGACCATCGACAATGAACTCACGGTCATCATTAGATTCTCAATTCCACATATTTCATTGAATTCAAATTCCACCATCTGCTATGGCAGGATTCAAAGCCAGGTTCCCAGAACACTATCTGGGTCTCTGGATTAACAGTCTAGCGATAACACCACTAGGCCATCGCCTCCCCGATTTATATTGAATTGCATTTGCTAATCTTTAGCCCACTTCTCCATCTGATCAAGATCCCTCTGTAATTTTTGATAACCTTCTTCGCTATCAATGATACCTGCTAATTTTGTATCATCCGCAAAACTTGCTAATCATGCCTTGTACATTCACATCATCATTTATGTAAATAACAAACAACGAAGGTCCCACCACTGACCCCTGTGGCACACCACTAGTCACAGGCCTCCAGTCTGAGAAACAACCTTCAAACATTGAACCAGTTTTGAATCCAGTTAGTTCGCTCTCCCTGGATCCTATGCAACCGAGCCTTTATGCCTAGCCTGCCATGGGGGACATTGTCAAAGGATTTACTAAAGTCCATATGGACAACATTCACTGCCCTAACCTCATCTATCCTCTTGGTTACCTCTTTGAAAAACTCTAAAAAATTTGTCAGACATGACTTCCCGCACACAAATCCATGCATGACTTCCCTAACACTCCTCCCATACAGTTGGCTTTCCCCTTGAATTGGTATTCTTGTGAATTGTCCTGATGAGTTAAGTTGAAAAGCTTCAGCAAAAGGCTTTTTTTTTATAAATACTAACAGGCAAGATAATCATTAATCCCACAATTTTGTTGCTTTTTTTTTAGCTGACGCACTCCTGTAAAGTTCTATGATTTTAATGGAGAGCAGTAACTTTTTAAAGAAATGAAATTCCAATTATTTACTGAATGACTGAGGCCATAACATTCAACAGCTATAAACAGAATTTTATCTTGCTATAAATGAGTCAATTGAAGTAAATACTAAGTATTATGTTGGCCAGTCTCCTATACTCTAAAACTCAGAATCAATGTAAAATAAACATAAATTAGTAGCCAAAATGTGGTCACTTGTAAACTGTCTGATTTTAATGAGATAGTAGGAACTGCCGATGCTGGAGAATCTGAGATAACACGTTGTAGAGCTGGATGGACACAGCAGGCCAAGCAGCATCAGAGGAGCAGGAAAGCTGATGTTTCGGGCCGAGACCCTTCTTCAGAAGTCGGGGAGGGGAAGGGGATTCTGAAATAAATAGGGAGAGAGGGGGAGGTGGATAGAAGATGGATAAAGGAGAAGATAGGTGGAGAGGAGACAGACAGTTCACAGAAACGGGGTTGAAGTCAGTAAAGGTGAGTGTAGGTGGGGAGTTAGGGAGGGGATAGGTC